CCGTTCCCGCGGGGCCCGGTGCGGCGCTGCGCGARCTCTGCCTCGTCCCGGCCTCGGGAGAGGGGCGCGGGGCTGCCGCTCGCCGGGGGAGGCGGGAGGGGGCGGCCGGAGCGCAGCGCGGGGCGAGCCGGGGCCCGTGCCCAGGCGGGTCTGTGCCGGGGCTCTCGCCTCTGCCTCTGCTCCCGCCGTGGAGCAGCAGCGGGTTTCGCTTCTTGCRCTTGAGCGTTTTTCACTCCCACCACAAAAAAAGCACCTGTGTTGTCTTGGGCAGCCTTGGAATTGTGTCCTTGATAAGGAAATCTTGGGGAAAAAAATCCAGGCTGGGCCTCGCTGCTGACCATCATGTTGTAGTTTGAGCTCCATGTAAGCTTAGGGTAGCCCTGGTCTATGCGAGTGGCTTTTAGAGCCTGGGTTACTTGTTACACCAGCATCCAAAGTTAACCACTAGGGCTCCTCCTGTTTCTACAGTAACGTTAAACAACGTGTTCAGTTTGCAACTCTGTTTTCATCTGCTAATCTAAAATACATCTTAGTCATTGCTTGTTACAAGGTTTGCTTGTCAACCCTACCAAATGTTTGGAAGAACGTTGGAGGGGAAGTGGTTTCTGACACTGACACGATGTGCGACCTTTCTGGTTTGCTCTTTCACTTTATTTTTTTCTCTTTAATAAACAGGATAAARTCACCCCAGTAGAAAGTAAATTTGGCTTGCTGTTGAACTTGCTCTTGAAGTCTTTACTGTTCCGTATTGTCCTGGATGGATTTAAGTGACTTAGGTTTTGAGCTGYTCCCCATTGTCATAGAAAAGCTCCTCAGATTAGGGGAGAGGGTGAGTCTCTGTGGCCTAGAATCCCAGATACTTATTTTAAAATCACATATGTAGTGTCGGAAATGTAAATGCTTCTCATTTTTATGTGAAAGAGGACTAGTAGTGTAGGCAACTTTTCTACTTAAAGATGTTTCATGTGTTTCTTTATTGCTTCAGACAGGAGAGTGCTAAATGGCAATGGATATAAGTAGTAGTTTTACTTAGCATGCAACAGCATTTGTTTTAGGTTCTGATTTCATGGCTGGAAGCTGAGCTCTAGCTTTGGCAATGAAAGCGGTCTGAAGGTTTGTTTCTTTAATGAGCTGTTTTCTTCTGATATTATTGGATTATACTTTCTTCCTGTAACAGTTATTATCACAAGGAGGGTCAAAAATCCAAGAAAGATTGTTGGTTGGCTAAGGAAGGGCAAGGTACAAAGATTGACTAAAAGTAATCTGCAGCAAGGTCTCCACAGAAGAGGAAAGGTGGAGGTACCTGGTTCTTTAGGTTGGAAAGACTTTATTAGGAACAGAATGTGAAATTAGTCTCTTGTATGATCAACTAGCTTTAATCTTAAAGAAAGCACAAAAAAAAAAAGGGTATATAAAGCATGTGGTACATTAGGAAAAAGTAATTTTGGGCATATTTATTTTTTGTGAGTGATCAGAATTGTATAACACTTCTTGAAAAATTTGAAAAAATGAATTAAAGCACAGAAATCTTAGATGAAAGATGGGCAGCATAACAATATAGGCGCTGAAAGTCTGTGTAGCATTATAATGCTGCTTTGAGTCCAATTCCATGTATTTTTATTGTCTTGTTCTTAYGGCATCTTTTCTGAACTTGAAACTGCTTTAACTTTTCCTAATCGATTACTCTTGTGCGAAGTTCAGAGAAGTGAGCCAGATGATTTCACTGGTGTTAACACGTAACTGGTGGTGCAACTAAGGGGAGAAGAATCTTCTGTTTTGTTGATGTCATATTTCCTATGACTTCCTATTTCCTCTGATAACTTATTTCCATGGGATTTCCCTCCAGGAGAGGTATCCATAACTGAGTGATTTTCAGGTCTTTTTGAGAAATAGCTGTCCGTCCAGGGATGTCTGTGTTTTGTTAGAGTTTACTCCTGACAGAGCTGTAAAAATCTAGTGGATGGGGGTGGAGATTATGGGAGATGGGAAGTTAGGTTAAGACCAAGATTTTTGTTTTGTTTTTCTTTTAATCATTTTCATATTCTTTTAACTTGTATGTGGAGTTGGTTCTTGCCCAAGTTGATGGATTAAAATATGGCTTAAGGTGGCCTTTTTTTTGTGGCTTTGGGACTTCAACTGCCAAGTTATGTTTTAAAGCTTTAAACAGCTTTAAAACAGATCCTTTTTGGGTTCAAAATAAGTAGGTGAAGAAARTATTATGTGTGGTGTAAGAAGAAAATGCTACCTGTGATATAAGAACTACTGAGAATCTGCCCAGCTGGGAAAACAGAGCTCCATGAAAATGAAACTGAACTTTTGGAGTGAAGTTCCGTTAACACTGTTCGGAGCAATTTGGGTGAATGTATGGGAGATGTGCTACTCGAATGTCCTGAAGCATTCCGGATCAGTTCTCAGTGTTTTTTGATTTGCAAGATTTGAGCTTCTCTTGCAACGTATTTGTTTAAAGACAAAATGAAGCAGGAGCCTCTTGCATCTCAAGAGAGCCAGGTGTTATATAAATGCTGGTACCCGGCTTTGTTACGCTATATATGAAGCAAAAGCCATGACATCTGTCAGAAACTCTTCTTGACTCTGGATTTTAGGTCTTTGAAAAATGACATTATTTTGGTGCTTCTACCAAAAAAAAAAAAAAAAAAGAAAAAACCCGTAGAGCAGACATGCTAAAGGTGCTAGAAGTAATGTTATAAATCAATCTGTGAGGATGCTGATCATCCCCTTCTCTCCCATCTTTTGGTAATGGCTTTGATTTCCATGTTCACAAGTGAAGTAGATATATTTCCTGTAGTTTCATCAAAATATAGCAGACCATGCTATCCTCAGCATTTTTTTCACCAAGGATCACTGTCATCAAAAACTAAAACAAACAGGACTTTTGTATTTTGAGGACCAGTAGAAATGTAGCATTTTTCTGAAAGAAAGTCATTTTGCTGTATGTCTTTCCTTTAGAAAGTGATAAAGAACTGATGAGATTAAGCTTTTTAGTTTCAAAGGAGAATTAACAGTGAATGCAAGACAGAAAAGTGATGTTTATGCATTTTTTTAGTGGTTTGGGAGAATTGCTGATTGAAAACATCACATGAATCATTTTATTTTTTTAAAGAACTGAAATATATTCTTTTTCTGTGGGTGCTTAGGAATCTAGAACCATTTATAGAAGGAAAAGATTTGTTCTCCATATTGGTACATTTTTTCCATCCCTCAGTTTGCTGGTTATTTGTCTCCGTGTGCTTGTGTCCTAGTATAAATTCTTACTGTTTGTACTAAGACTATTTTGACCCAAACTTTCATAGTCAATTGCTGTTTGTGCAGAGGAATAGAAAACTGCAGACAGTGTTTGTTTCGTGTTTTGTAAGAAACTGGTTTTGGTTCCTTATGGTAATAACTGCTTGTTGTGATGGTATTTTAGCATCAGTCCTACTTACTTGAGCTTTGTGTATTTACTGGTGCTCTCTATTGTAACTGATGAGTGCAATAGTGCAGTGTTTCAGCAGTGTGTTTTTAACATTACATTTGACTTAGTTTTGGTCATATCTTGCCACATACAAATGAATATCCTCGATATTTTGATCTCCAGTTCACATACAGCTTTGGAGGCAAATAAAAATCACAGAATCTTCAAGGTTGGAAGGGACCTCTAGAGATCATCTAGTCCAACCTTCCTGCTCAAGCAGGCACACCTAGAGCATGTGGCACAGGGTGGCATCCAGGTGGATTTGGAAGATCTCCAGAGAAGGAGACTCCACAACCTCCCAGGGCAGCCTGTTCCACTGCTCTTTCACCCCCACAGTAAAGAAGTTGCTCCTCACCTGGACATGGAACCTCCTGTGTTTCAGCTTGC